TGCAGATGGTTGTCGGCCAAGTATGCAAATATCTGCGATTAGACTATTGTGAAAGGATATTACGAAAATATACCCTTTGGTGTTAGCACATACCAATAAACGAACGGTTTACAGCCATTCCGCAATGGCGACTGCATTCCCTCATGTGCGCAACAAATACGTTATTAATAAACCATTAAACTGATGCGGCCTATTTCCTTAATGTGCGTATGTGCACGCTTCAAACTATTTGACAAGTGCTGTTGATGTGACTTCTTAAACAGTGGACTACTTTTACAATGAATGTAAGTAACATGTATTTAATGTGCCCCTAATTTGAAATACATGTACAGTTTAAAGGGCGAGTAACGAGAGCCAAAGATAACTGTAACAAGCTGAGATAGACTCAGCTTGTTGCATGAGTATTTAAAACGAAATGTAGTAATTGTTTAGTCCTAGTTTTTATGCAACAATTAAATGTGAACTCATAAATAATGCACGAAACATTGCAATTCTCATGCATCAACTGGAAAAACGATTACCAAACAATCGTAGTTGTAATTGCAGTAGCAGTTACAAGTCTATGTTGAACCACATTCAGCGGCTATAAAATGGCTAGACGTGGTACGAAGGTGTTCTTTTTGTAAGAGCTTCGATGGGAAATTTTGAAGCTCCCACGGGAACCATGGATGTTAGCACTGGAATTTGAGCATGGGAAGCGGAAAACACTCAATGAAGTAAAACTCGTACAGATAATATCAAATCCACGTTTACAGTTAAAACTGCTACCTCATCGAATCTGTAAATTGAACAAATAACTTCCAACATCATTATAGCTGCCGTATTTCCGTATCTTACTTGGAATCACACATAAAAACGCGCTTACACAAACACAATTTATTATTTTAGTCAATAACCAGAAAAGTGAGTTTGCTTTTACGTAATCGGACACAGAATACTACGTTTGTTTAGGTATTAGAACATAATATGATAGATTTATTTTGTTAAGTTGAAGATGAAACTAGTCTAATGTATTCTGTCTGATGGAATAATGGAACCGAAATAATTTCCAACCGGTTCGAAAGTTCTGCATTTAGATTAGCAGTCTATTTAGGTAATCAATTAAAATATATCGCTGATTGAATCATCACAATAAAATTTTAATTTGGCTGGCTGCTTCGTAATTACAACCTGATTAGTTAAGATTAAAAATATTTTGTAGGTAGAGAAAGATACCAATGCAAACTTTATTAAACACATTTTGGATGTTATTTGGATCATAATGGCAACGTCTAGAATTTAAGCGCGAATTAAGTTTGGATAAGGTTAAAATTGGACGGTTTTATTATACCTAGTTAGGATAAGTTTTTACTAAGATAGAGTTTTATCTTTTCTACCTTTCGTGATGCTGTAGATTTCACCTATCTAACCTATCTTATTACAAAACTAAAGTACAGATTCCGAATTACGGTTATCTTGTAAAATAACGGTAGATTTAGATAAAACGTAGACACTATAGAGGTAGAATGATGCGGATGCAAGGTTTCCTAAACCTTTAAAAGATTTAACAACCAATTGCTTTTCCATCACCAGACCGACGTGAACTTCTCTAACTGTATCTATTTTAAACTGTCAAACACCAAGCGGTCACCGGTGACCGCAACCTATTGTTCTCTAATTGTGTCTGTATCGACGGTACTCGACGAGTTAAATTAATATTCCAGAAAGTTAAAAGGGCTAAAACTTTTTACTTCGTTTTAATTTCGTTCTCGGAAGCATTGCGAAGAGAGTCATAAAATCCATAACTTCACCAGCGCCATTCACTATGGACTTATTTGAAATTCAAACTTGGAATGCCGTCTATGGCCGAAGCACAGAATTTTGTGGTCTACCTCAAAACTGATTGAGACGTCAAAGCAGAACTAGAATAGCTACTGATTTAATTTATGTGGTTAAACTTGTGTCTTGTGAATAGGAAGGTTTAATTTGTTCGTGTAGTTTTGCACTATTGTCAATCTAGGTTACGGTTACTTACATTTGCGGTGGCTTTTAGGATACATTTTACTAGTATTTTGTAACAGTTATTGTACCGTAAAGTCTGTAAGTGTTCACACAACACGACAATAACAGAAACGATGTATACAGATAGGATCTACTTTCTTAAGACATATCTATCAATATCAATGGTACAAGCGTTGTCAGTTCTTAACATAACACTAAACAAACAATAATACAAGGAAACTTGATGAAAGGCCACTCAGACGGCACCTTGAGGCTTGAGCGATGACATCAGACCTGTGTGTCATCTTAGGACATAGGCTTCTATCGTAATGAGTGTAAATAAAGGTGTTAAGACACTTGATGCAACGCGATTAGAATACACAATTAGACCGAAAAGAAGACAGCGGTGACAAAAGAGTAGTTTGCCATGCATCTGGTTGTTACTATGAAGTTTGGTCTTAGACCTAAGAGACTTTTTATTGCTTCTTTATTTATACTTGAATTGATTTTGATTAGACTTATACTAAGGTTAATACGCTCGTAATAAGCGATTTTAGAGGCGATTCGCGAGTAACCTGATTTATTAAATTAGAAGCAAGACTTCGTAATCTTAGGAACATCAGTTTCGGAATCTGTTTGAAGAAAATAAGGAAATAGCATTTCCTTGACAATACGATAGACGTATTGAGGAATTAGTCCGCAGGAAATTGAGAATAATTATGTTTAATGGTGGAAAATGCAGTGATGCACATACCCAGTTTTATTTTGACGATTTTAAAACCGTCATTCGTTCAAATCCCATCACATATCTACAGACAGTGACAGTTCACTGAGATACTGTGGGCGTCCTCCACATAGGAGAGTAGAAGTTTCAGGAAAATGCTCCTTTCCTGTCTCTATATAGGCAGTTGTTAGCCTGCTCGCCGCGCCGCGTGAAGAGAGTAAATGTCGTGACAAATCTACCATCAGCTACATAGCGAGAATAGAAATGTCGTAGAAGTAAGTCGTCAATCGCATTGAGCAGAAAAATGAATAAACACAGACGTAATATAGCACTCAATATGTGTTTCAAAACAAATTCTAAATTAGTGAATTAAATCAATCTTCCTCAGTACCAGTCTTAATCGAGTTGCAAGTAACAAAAATAGGAATGACACAGATTACTTATTGTAGGTGTGTTGTATGAATGACCCATGCAGTAAGTACACATTATTTCATTGTTTATTTTCGTGACGCGTATCCGAAACGCAAATAATTTCGAAGATGACTCCCACTACTGAAACAAGCACTGCTTATTTCTAATACATTCATTCCTGTTGCAATTGAATCATGGCTTGCTTTTATTTTGATGTTTTCATGACTTTCGTTTTTTTTAATTATGAATATGGCACCTTCTTTTGTATGTTAAGTAGGCAAAGGTTACAATGATGTTTTGCAAATTATACTCCTAAGTTTAAGAGAAACCTTCTGAATCAAGAAACCAAAACCTCCCATGGGGTGCAATTAGGAATGTTTAGCTAGAAAGTAGTCTAAAGGGAAGCTAGATTATCCTCAACTTCTTAATCCCCGTTTATGATAATTCCACAACATTTGTTCATACAAAAGTAGTCTCTACACATCAGAAATAAGGTCTATAAAGGAGAGTGGTCTTCTGGGTAGATCAAAGAGTTAGGATTTTTTCTTATCACCAAAAATAACTAACTAGGTAAGAACTAGTTAGTACAGGTATGAGGTAAGTACATACCTACTACAGAAAAGAAACTCTAATTGGATAACACACTGACAACAACCAAATTCATTCAGCGGAAGCCAATCACAATTCAGTGTCACTCAAATACATACCTAAATAAATAAGGAAAAAAATCAAAATAAAGTTCGGACAGAAAAAAAAATTCAGTGCACAGATTTAACTGAAGAAAAACTGGTCAACCATTCAATGAGCACTAATGAATGGAACAAAAAGTAATACCTACTTTAAGATAATTTTACATACTTATCTCGTTCAGTGTCCGTTAATTATGTGGACAAGGGTATTGGCTTCATGCCTGCGGTGCATACTCAGAAACTCATCAAACCAGAAAGATTATTTGTTTCTTGACTTGATATTTGTAATTTTTTAATCTAATTTGTCCAAGATAGTAACATGTGTTTAGTAATTAGAGCTTAATTAGACTGAAGTAATTAATTGTTGGTTTGTTATAGTAAAAGTATGCTTTGTGCAATTAAATTTGTTATTATTACTTTGATAAAATAGTTTTTTTGAGTAGGTGTATTTGTTTAAAAGTTTTGTTGTTGAAATGGACAGTTTTATGTAGATATTTTTAACTTATAATTCTGGTGACACAATATGTTATACAAAAAAATGTAATACCAAAACCAACTTAAGACTTTATTTAAGTCTTTTTCTAAATCAAAATGTTTTTAGATAAATATATTATAATATATTATAATAACTTGATAAAATGTTTAGTCAGAAAAAAGTTGAAAATGCAAATTAATTATATGAGTGTCAATAGTAATATTTTTATTGCATTTAATTACATATACATACTTAGTTTGTATTGTATTAAGTCTAGTTTGATAAGTTTAAAAAATAAAATAAAAAACAAAAAGTATTATGCAGGTTCAAAACTTAATAGAAGAATATTTTATGTGGAAGAAATTAAATAAGTATTGTTTTATGAAGCGAGTATCGTCTTATTTACCTATTGGTACAGGTGTAAACTAAAAATGCAAGGTCAACCACTATGATAATACAACATACCATAGCAATGAGTAGTTTTCCTTTAGAATAATGTTTATTTTCATTTTTTCACCTCCCACGAAGTCCTTAATGAGAACGTTCAGTCATATGGTACACAACGCGAGAGAATTTAGCAACATCCAAATTTTTGGAGACATTGTTCTATTTACGATCAAAACTAACACAAAACTCTACAGTCATCTACATATTTTCAAGTCAGATGCACCTTTCTATACGTAAATTGTAAATTTGATGACGATATCAACAATCAACTCACCTCAATTGCAAATTTTGGATAAAGGTATCGGTGGTCAAGTTGTCCAACAGGACGAAGTCGGGTACACCGACTTCTGGCTGCATCGCCATTGTTATTAATTCACTTTACAATCCACCACAACAATAAATAACTGTTCACACACTATTTAATTTTAACGAATATAAAATTATTGTCAACAAACCGTTAAAAATAACAGAACAAAAAACACAACTCCTCCTCCCGACCACTTTGTTCAAACTGTCATTTTTTAAATAATTCGTACTGTCACCTCGGTTTAATGTTGCCATAACGTAAAATATGAAAGATTTTTATACAGGATTTTGTTTATTAATATTTTTGCATAATAAATTAGTCTGGGTCTAGTACTAAATTTTTAAAAAATGTAAGAAAATTAAAATTATATTTTTTGCTGAGATGTAACTTGAGTTGTTAAAAAAATTATGATTTAATTTATGTTTATTTCTGAACTGAGCACACCCAAAACGCCGCCATTTTCCTTGTTGTAGGTGCCTCAAATGTCATAATAATTTCAATTTTCATGTAAAATAGGATTTTCTTTGATTTTTTAAGTTATTCAGTAGGTTAATTTAAGTGTTTTGCGAAGTATTTATGTGTTCATAAGTTTTCATTCTGGGTTTGTTCGTGTACATTAGTCTCGTGACAGAAGTTCAAGTTAGTCGTCATTTCAAGGATTCTCAATGTCCTACAATGAGGATCATCTTCATAAAAGGTAGCAAAAGCGTTACGCCCACAGCGTGAAGATAAAACCTATGTTATTGTGTTCATATGGTGATGAGAACGCGAGGAGTGGTGAAAGTGCGCGTATATTGATGGGACAATGAGCGATTCCCCAGGCGTGGAGTGGCTCCCTGCGTTTAGCCCTGGCCCGCCACGCCACAGTCCGCTAGGCCCCATCCCGCGGTTTTTATACGAAGATGTGCAGCCTCTGGGTTTGCAGCAAGAGAACAATAACAAAGAGGCCGACCAGAAAGAGAATACGAATAAAATCAAACACGCGAAGCCCGCGTACAGGTAAACGATTTTCGTAGTTGTAAATCTTAAAGAGTTCCTAATATGTGTGAATGAGTCATTTGTAAGTGACCCTTAAAGTGATGAGTAACGAAATGCGACATTATGAAGGCTTTTCATGAGGCAGGCATTATTATTGGAAGTGCTAACACAAGCATTATAAAATCAGGTCTTACAATATGTAAGAACTGAAATCAAGCACTTTTGTAATTAGGAATTTCCAAGAAGAGACTTATCAGTTTAGTAGCAAATGTGTGAATGATAACATGTTCCTACTGTCCAATCACTTGTAACCAAGTGGATTATGTTTGTCAGGTTAATCATGTAATAAAAGCCTAAACTTATCTTTCATAAGATTTTAATTGATATAACTGAATAATATTGAAATAATGTTCATTAGCTTTTATTTTATACTAAACAGAAACCCTAAAGTTAATAGAATCTCATATACTTAATGTTGGACAATGAGCCAGCAGGTCAAATACTCTAAATTCAAATTCAACTAAGGTTTTTAGTGTCACTTTATAATTTACTACCAGCTTTACCTAACCCAGTCATAAAAATATGCAACAATGCTATTTACTGTATTAATGCTAGTCAAGCTCATTATTTAGTTTACTAACATGTAATTTAAATCCAAAGTTAGAGCATAATTTTATTATAAGTAGTTCTAAAAACATGTCCAACATGCATTTATTAAAAAAATTACACAAGCATGGAACATCACTATTATAAAAACAATGTTGGGATTGGGTTCATAATATGTGAATTTAATAAGAGGCCTGTAATAAGAGCAATTGGATATACATCTCTACAATATAAGATATTATTTTCTTTTATACGAAAAGAAGGTATTACTCAACATTAGTATCAATTAATCTCACATTTTTGTCAAGCTTATTAACATTACGAATTGGTAGGCAAGTAAATTGTAATGTCATGCCGACATCATTATTATTTGTTCCCTTGATCCTGCATACTTTTTATATGTGCAATGAGGAAAATATTAATAATATTATGTACTATTAGGAGTGTGAGGTCATCGCCCTTTGACATCCCTTTGCCTCTTAGTACAATAATTAATATACAATGTTCCCTACATGTTAAATACTCATAATATTCATAATTTCATATTATGGTGACTACCTACGAAGGTTGTTAATGAGAAAAACATTATCTATCAGGCAATAAATGAACATAAATTAATTTTAGGTGAGCCCTTTGTGTTCTTAGAAATTGTAGATCTGTGTTTTTCAAATTAAGAACTCGAAAATTATTGCACAATTTTACTCCAAAATCTTGCTTAATAATAAAAATAAAAAGATTCCTAGATTGAGAACTTTTTAAATTTCAATACACAAAGAAAAGCCTTATCTGGTTGTCTGAAATGAGGTAAAGACAGGTAAAGATTATAATCTGCTACTAAAGTATAAAAAAAATGCTTTAATTAAGAGTACAACAGCCTTAAAATTAATTTTATGTCACCATTGTATTGTCTTGACATAATTTTTTATCAAAATCTGCAAGCTAGTGTAAGATAGCTGTTATATATACCTAACTATAATGTGAGATTATTTGATGACGTATATGTGTTATCCGCAAGATTAAAACAATTTTATCAGATAGGACAAGTTTATTGTGCTGTAAATGGGCTAGGAATGTTCCGGCAGCTTATAAATTAATTACCTAATTTTCCCTGTTTATTAGAATGTTTGTATATTTCATGATTTTATTATGACCTTTCTGTTAGCTATAGAATAGGTACTCTTTTGTCTAAACTGGGGTATTTATGAATGCATTTTATTCTACAATTGGGAATAATATTTTTCAAGTTTCAAGTAACCAAGGTGTCTTCAATTTTCCTTATTTTTATTTCATGAATAAAGGACATAGACTTGGTCACTTTAGTTTCATTGTTGTCTGTTGGAACAACGGAATATAAACTGTTTTAAGAATTGGTTTGCTCTTACAATTATGTTTACCTTTGACTGGAGTAGCAAAGTGACATATCAATGAATAAATGTATTTGTCTATACATTCAGCAATTGATAAGAAACAAAATAACACTTTTTTCTTTTCATTAACTATACATATATTGTGTCAATAATATATAAAACACAGGAATCATTATATTATGGAAAAAATCCTGATCCTATTATTTCTCGTGTTCCAGTTATGCCAGTATGATAAGGCTGGCAATCAGCAGTTCCCCAAATGGCAAGATGACACTGAACGAGATCTACACATACATATGCAATGCCTTCCCCTATTACAAAGAAGCTGGCAAAGGTTGGATGGTAAGCTAAGCACACAATTTTTTTATATGGCATAAGCATACGAGCCGACAGATCACCTGATGGTAAGCAATCGGCGTCGCCCATGGACACCTGGAACACCAGAGGCGTTACAAGAGCGTTACCGGCCTTTGGGGGATTAGGAGTTTGAAGATCTGAGAGTTGGGATTCAGGAATTGGGAAGATTGGGGAAGGGGAGGGTAACCTCACTCACACGACTAAACACAACGCAAACGTTGCTTCACGTCAGTTTATTTTTGTCCTCATTACAAAGGTTTTACTTTTAAATTGAGTACACAAGCATATGTTTTCCACTTCAATCTCTAAATTAAGTTAATTCAATTTCAAAATGACATAATGTCAATCCATTTGATGCTCAATGGATTAGGCGAAGGTACATTTTGGCACCCACTTTTCACCAATTATGTTTCCCATGTAATAGAGAGTGAGCTATTGCCATACTCTAAGCATATTCCAGACCAACTCCATGCTATTACTGAGAATTGTAGAAATTTCGAAAATAGCCAAAATATACATTGCCTGTCCTGATATTGAACTAATAATAACTACCAACTATCTGCTTTCCATTGTCGTCCCTCTATAATTTTCATAATAGCTAATAATCAACCTTAAGTCGCGATACCTAATTGATTGGATTACTTTTCCTTACAGAATTCAATACGGCATAACTTATCCCTGAATAAATGCTTCATGAAAGTGGCTCGCAGTAAAGATGACCCAGGCAAGGGCTCCTATTGGGCGATGGACACCAGCTACAAAATGGCGGAGGTCGCGCCTAGAAGACGTAGGAGTCTTAGGGTGAGTTGTAAATCTCATTAATACTCATCATGATATTAACCATAAGACATACATTGCTAAACAAAAGGGGAGGCTCCATATGCATCCATTGGCTCCCTGCGTTTCTGTTTGTAGTAGAAAAAAAATTATATTAAAAGAGTGAAGACTTCGGAACAATACATCTAAATAATTAATTTTATCTAAAGGTTTAATTGTCAGTCATTAGTACCAATTTGAGTAAAAATCCCCAAATACGTCATTGTGTTAATATTTTGCCTACCAAATGTTGTGAGTGTGGAAAATAGACCCTACGTGTAAAGTTATAGAGTTCAATATCGCTTGCCTTATTTGTATGAATTGTAAAAATATGTGCGTGAAGTAATAGAGTCGAATGTTCAGAGGTGTGGTATGATTGTTGTGTGTACTCGTAGATGGCCCCGTACAGCCCGGAGTGCAGCTCCAACAGTAGCGGCGAGGCGGGCGGCGCGGGCGCGGCCGGGCCCGACGCCGCGCCCACCCCGCCCGCCACCCCCACCACGCCCACCTCGCCCACCGTGCCCGGCGCCGTCAAGGAAGAACCTGTCGTCAAAGAAGAATCAGGTAAACTATTATTAGATACCTAAATATGTTTATGCAGCTTGCTACACCTCCTAACCTAACCCTGACTTCTCTATCAAGAATGTGATGACCAATCACAAAGAAGAGTAGTGTTTTACGTATTTTGCGTTTTATTTTCAGATTCGAAGCACACAGATGACGCGCTGTCTGCACTGATGAACGAGGAGCTGATGACTGACGTCGACATAAGCAGCGGTGAGTGGAGTGTTTTGTCACGACTTGTATGCTAAAGATATTGTTTGAGAAGTTATTTAATGACTTGTGTATATCCCAGAGCGGTCGTGGTGTGACGGGGGGCGGCGCCATGTATGCGGAGCGTTGCGTCACAGTTCGCTGACTGATGACTACGGGAACTTTGTCGTCACGCGGTACGACTGCGACTGTCCCGCAGACCCCGAGCCCACTACTGCGGGGGCTGGGACTGGGGCCGGGGTGGTGGGGCCCGAGATAGCTGCGCCGCTGACCCCGCTGACCCCGCTGACCCCGTTGACCCCGGCGTACGTGCCGCTGCCGTACTGGAACTCGGAGAGTTTATAACATAAGTCCCCGCGCGCGCCCCGCCCCTGACTCCGGTCCTGTCCTCCGTTCGATTGCTGCGTGTCTTCATATCATGTATCTGTATCAATGTTTGTTTCGTGTCAATTGTTCCCCGCGCTCTGTCACTCCTATAGCGTCCGTCTTGACGTCGCGATCGAGTATACTTAACTAAACTTGTCTAGTGTAAGCTAATGTAAATGTAAGCGAGGTTAGATGTAACGGATTGCGCAAGAGTTTTGATCAAGTTTAAATGATATATGTTAAACACTAATATCTTAATTAATATAGGAAATATTATTATCTTTATATTGAATTGTTTGTTACGTGAACTTGGTCAAAATGCTTTGCTTGTTTGGATCGAAAGTTAGCTTGATGATAAATAACTAGATAATAGTACATGTGTTCGAGTGAAGCTTGCCATTTTTGACACGTTTTGAAGTTTATATACTTGACTGTGGTGATGACTGGACTTGCAGATGGTTTGAAAAAAAAATGGAAGAATTGGTAATAAAAAGATGTGTATTAGAGTAAAACTAATCACGCCAAACAATTTTACACTTTTTGATGTAGTTTATGTAATAAAACAAGCTGTATTAGCCAAATACATTGGAAGACTAGAGGTCTTGTAGTTGGCAACATTATTGGAAATATAAAATAATTTGCATTACAGTGCAAATAGTTTTCTTACAAGGAAACTATACAGCCTCCGTCGTTGCCACGTCGATAGAAGATATACAGAAACTAAACACATAGATGTGGTACTTAAAGGTTTTATACAAGAAAGTGATTACAGAGAACATTACAGATCAGCAACATATCTGTCGGGTTATATATAGAGTAGTGAAGTTACCTTAGTCGAGGGACTTGTTGTATTGTTATATAAGCGTTGTCTAGCGTTACGTGGCGGACACATGTCCTCTAGCACAGCAGGGAAATTGAATATGCTATCTTCTAACCACGTACACTACCTAACGAGCAGTTGAGTCATTCAAAATCACCCATGATATATGTCTATATATCTGTCTAGATTACATACAAATATTGTACCTAGCCTAGTAGACTACACGGACACGCTAGCTTTATCTATAAAAAATATACAACTGCATAATCTTTGCAATACTAAACCCCGTCCTGACACATCCAAGTTTGTACACATTCAGTACAGGCACCCATAGAAGCCAGATACAATGTTTATAATATATAAAGAACACAAGCAGAACCTGCTTCTGACCTTCTTTGCGACACGAAATAAGGTAATATACACGACCATAGAGTCTACATCCCTGAAGGTAGCATATTTAATGTAAACGGATGAAGTAATAGATATATGACAGTATTGGAGCCAGAGTGGTGACGAACAGATCTCAGAATGACCAGTATAATATATTATTATGATTAAAAAATATATAATATTATAGTGTGCTAATATTTTATAATTTTAACTGTGCATAATGTTAGTTACATTTAGTTATAACATATAAAATAAATATGAGTTAGTCTGTACGAATTTATAATTTAAACATATAAAGTATGTAACTATTAATCTATGTAATATGAAGTCACACTTATATACGTAAATATTGCTTTTTTAGGAAATCGTATATCGGCCTATGGATATATTATACTTATATGTTATAGCGCATGCGCGGGCGCGCCCTGCGGTACCACTGTTTCGCGGAATAATTTTACTTGTGGTATTATTGAAGTATTACCAGTTGTAATATGTATCTTAAGGATTTGAAATTAAAGTACAGTATAAAATTATTATTATATTCAGTAAGGGGCGTTACTTAATAGTTACGCACGTTGGATATAGTAGTACCGCGGGGCGTGGCCTTGTGTGCGCGTGTTAGGTTCTGCTTGCCTAAGTAACGATTATTTCTAGTTTATTTTTATAAGGTGCAAATACGTATTTTTGTGCCATAGTAGCGTGGGTCGAAGTATGGCATTGAACACTTAGAATTATATATAAAAAAAGAAAAATAAAACTGTCCCATATCTTATTAAAAATGTGTTCAAAAAAAGTTTTTTAGAAGTTGTACCTACATACACGAGTAACATTAGTATGTGTATATAGTAGTAATTATTTTAATATTAACTGAGAACACTTGGGATGTTATGTATTGTAACATTTTTACCCGTTTATATTGATAGTGCGAGCCACGAATTTTTATATGTAAGCTCACATATTGGTAGGTTTAAGTCAATCGTTCATTTATATTGAAGCTTTGATGGGCGCGAGTGTGCCCGGTGTAATATGTGAGCATTATGTATCGAGTCGCGGGCGGACTGCACTCCTGGTGCACCGTACATCATTATATATGTACTATGTACTACAGAGTACCGCTACGTACACACCCGTATTTAGGGCTCGAATACAAAACTGCGATGCGACATCGCATCGCAAAAATATGCAAGCTCCCTCTACGCATCACAAGAACTTGCGAATTCGCATCGCATCGCATCGCAGTTTTGTGTACGAGCCCTTACTGGTTGAAGCCTAAGTTTGCTTCAAGTCAAATATACAAGTCGATTGGTTTTCCTACAGCGATGCATGAGTGTGGTCCAGCCGAGTATGATTAATTGCCCTTGTGGTTGATTGTGGTTATATACCTATGTAATAAATGTTCAGATTCCTTTACAAAAATATTGAGTAACATTGGTTGAACATTCCTTTGCCGTCGACAAGTATAATTATTATTAAAAGATGTTGTAATTATATTTATTGTCCAGAATATGTTAAATCTTTTGTGCGCCAAGTAAACTTTATTAGGTTATTGCAATACTTTTTCAGAAGGCAAGAAGAGACAACAGATGAAAATTAGTTGATTAAAAACGTCTTTTTCTCTGTCTTCTATAAAAATATAGCAATCATCTAATTTTATTTAGTGAACAAGATTATTTGATGTATAGGTACAGATTATGTACATGTACTGGTTTCGCTACTTTCGTATTTATTTAGATTTACGATGATTTTAATTATTTAAGTACCTACATATTTGTTTACTTTATACGTTTTTACCAAGCGGTAGCGAGACCAACAGTTATTGATCAATAACTGACAATAAAATCGTATTTATATGCTATTTTTAATTTTAAAGCATTGTACTATAAGTTTATAGTATTCCTAAACTGTTGGGAATTATGATTATAAAAATATAGGTCTACACTGGGACACGGGTGATATACAAGAACACTATCAAATACATAAAGGTTATGTTTTAAGAAAAAACTGTATAAATGCAAATTACTTATGTAACGTAACTCCTTGTTATTGACATACACCCGTATCCCGGAGTAGCCAACATGGTAGGTTAGAAAGTGTCCTGTCATTATTTCGTTGTAAGAATTAAGTTGATAGAATATTATATTGTTAATCCGCAGTACAGATAACAAATAGTTAGTTTTATACTTTGACCTAGGACAACAAACGTCGGTTCTCTAGGGGCCTTATACATAAACAGTTTTATACAATCTGCCGGACACTTTCACTCAATTAAGGTACAGAATTTTTAAAGTTTTATTTTTTTACGCATAATTTGATACATACATAATAATCATACATACAGAGGTGCATAGATTTATTTGCCATTAGTTGCCATTTTATATTGTTTGATAGTATTTATTGTTTTCTGTGATAAAAAAAAGAAAAACCTTTTATTTTTCGAAGATGACAAAATGACGTACTTTGTATTATTTTTTATTAATTATAGATCCTTCAAATGTGTCGTTGCAAATAATATATATGTATAAATAAAGGTTAATATACAGATAGTTGATTTGCAAGTTGTATGTACGTAAGTGTAAGATAGACGATACATTTGAAGTAACTATTGTATTAATGGTACTTTTGTAACGACTAACAACATTAATTTTATAATAACTCAGAGCGGGTGCAAGTCGAGGGGACTGTACTATCGTAAGGACTGATTGAGGCATTGTCACGAGTACTACACGTAACGTACGAGCAGCTTCGTTTGGAGATAACATTACTTCCACACTACATAGAGAAACAAAAGATTGTAATTAAAATGGTTAGATGTGTTTTTTCATGTATGTTCGACGGCCGTGGCAGTGTCTGACTGCACCGCTCACAGTATTTTACTTTATTTCGGTTACTCACTCCGCCTATAAATGATATTAACGCGGCGATATGAAAATTAACTATTTTATTGTAATCACGTTAGCCGTTAATTTAAGAGTAGGATGTTCTACCTCTAAACAAATCATAGTTGATGTACAATATTATAAACTTTTAACAGAATTATGATGTTTTATTTGTTCCTCGATACCTTTGGACATCACCTGCATCCGCTTAATAATTTTCCAAATGTAGAAGGACTATCCCAATTTCTTCAGTTTGAATGATAATCAATTTCCATATTCTTTTCTATAATTCAAGTCATAGGGGAAAAGGGGCAAAGTATGTTTTAGACATACACTGCATTGCAACATACTTCCCATCCTTGATCCAACCAATTTACTACATTCAAAAGAATTTAAACACAACTAGTGTTTGGTTATCGCCAAGCAATTTATTTATTACACCCTGGAGGACTTACAGCTAAAACTACATAAAAATAGAAGCCAACATAAACTACTGAAAGCCAATTACAAGTCCTCACGTATAGTGACAGACTTAAATTTGATAGGTGTATATTTAATAATACTACCATACTCTGCATTAATTCTTTGGAAACATATTTCAAAACTCATCATTTCTAACGAAGTGATATCAGGAACTTTTTTCCATCGTCCAATGACTTCCCCCGCCTCGGGTTAGTCGAGAGGGATGGGTGTAAGACTGACTAAAAACCACCCAGTTCCTACTACTCTTGGAGCCGGAACCCATTAGGCCTTCCGCGGCTTCGTATATATCTTAGGACTTGGTAACACGAAACAAAATATCTATCGACCCAGTTTTAAGATACTACTCGTATTTTAAAAACTGGGTCGATAGATATTTTGTTTTTCTCACCAGATGGTGCTAATGTGACCTATGATATTTTATCCAATAAGAACCTAGTGTCACACCGCTGAACGTTCAATTATTGATAGCTTCAGTGATTGGACAAACCCCTGCCCTCTTGATAAATTAGCGTCATCAAACCGTGAGCAAAAAAGTAGCGTTCATTGAAATGTAGGTACATACCAGGCAGGGCGACAAGAAGGCAAGTAATAATAAGAAACATTTTAAAATTACCTCGTGCCAGCGGCTTCCTACGGTTCCCAGTAGCCTATGTTACTCCAGACATTAATCTACCTGTTCCAAAGTTCACCCCGGTCTCTTCAGTCGTTTTGATGTGACTGAGTAACAAAAACACAAAAACTTCATAGTTTCGCATTTATAATATCAGTTCAAGCTAATTCCAACCATCGGACTTACAGTTACGGCGTAAAGTCAACTGCGTCAACCTAACACATTCAACAAACTTATGTGTTTGGTACAGTAACTGTCTAGGGATTGCGCCGCACAATTAAGTTTTTTTTTTTGGGATGAAAATAACAAAGTTGTGCCCGGGTACCCAGCCTTGTGCCCAGGATATTAAAGTATAATCATACCAAGTTTCATCGTAATCGGACCATTGGTTTTTGCGTGATGCGTGAACATACGGACAGACAGACAAACATTTTTTAATCACTTTTGGGTTCGGTTTCTGTCTAGTAAATAAGACGCTATACTATTTTTTTTTAATATTCTCGTTGTTATATGTATAGATAACTTTCCGTTTCTATGCAGGGCTACAGCGAGTAATAAGATTAACATAAGAGAAAAGATATGTTAGAGGAGAGTAGTTAGTAGTTTTCAAATACGGTAGACAGATTCTTTTCACTTTAAAAGTGAAATGTGGAATTGAGGATTGTTAACTTACTTGGGTGACAGGACATTTGTAGATTCAATAGAAAAGGTTTTGTGGTACAAAAATGCGTGATGTTTCTTACAAATTCATAAGATTGAATTTTATTTTATGCATATTGAAGATAGTGGGAAACATTCTGTCATGTGAAAACGAATGATTAATTTATTACTAGTATTTTTCGGGTGGGTATTTCTTTTTTGTCACTACATGACAAAAAATTAGAAGATTTTTTTCTACAGACTCTGTTGCTATTCAAGATTTTTCTGTTATTATATATTCATTTTAAGACTGATAGACATGTGATCTCAAATTCCGGTCTACTTCTTCTGTTGGTAGATTCTGGGTGTAATAATGAAATTGCTTAAAAAACATAGGGTTATTCAGAATAGAAACAACAATTGAAATATCAACAACTTTAATGATTGAATATATACAAGAACAATATACATACACAAGTTTAACAATATTATATGGAGCGGGCACTGGGCGCGGGCAGACGAGACACGTCACGTCGCCTCGCGTGGACTGTAACATGAGCAATACGGCAGCAAAGGATTCTACTATAACAAAATATAATACGCAATTTAGACGATACACTTCGCAAATTAACTTTCTAATACGAAAAACCTAAACATTAAAAATAAACATTGACATCTCACATACCTAAAAATAAATTTAGATGATCCTCTACCACATCCTAATTTCCATTACAAATACAGAATCAATTCGTTGTGATTACAAAATTTTAAATGATAATAGCTTAATAATAAAAACTACAATTTAGTTAACACTAAAACTAGATACAAACGCTAAATTTTATAAAACAGAAAAATGTACTTTTGAGGACTTAGAGAATAATATACAAGGAGAACAAAATAAAAGCATCCAAATTGCACACAAGACATAAAATGAAAGATGAAGCACCATACCTCAATAGTTTCAGGGTATTATTGTCGATACGGAGGGGAAGCAGTACTACATATAGCATATAGCTTTCTGTCAACACTCTGTTAGCCGTGCGGTGCAGTGGCTCAGTAACTACGGCACTCAGAACACACCTATCTAAGTTCTAAGCAATGCTTTCTATATTTCTGGAAGATATTTGAAGAAGTATAGTTAATCCGTACAAGGTACGGAAAGTCCGCAAGCGGCTACTCGCTAATATCGTATTCAATATATTCCTATATAAAAATATGAAAAAAATAAAATAATAATTTAATCGTGTTTAAAATCTAGTGATTCGTCAACCGTGTCAACAAAGGAGCGAGTAAAATTTAAAATATACGTATTCACAGCCCTAACAACACCCATTGGACGTCCCTAATGAAGTCGAAGGATATATTTACAATGTTCAAGAGTTTGTCTTGTTCACTAAATACTACTCTGTGTATACTGGAGGCTCCTGCTGGTACCTCCGCGTATAACAGTCATAAAACTAATGAAAGCTAATTCAACGACCGTGTATTCGTAAACAAGACAACATTTATTACTTTCCATGACATTCTTGGCAACACATTTCAAATGTTTGACCAAACATTTGGGCTGTAAACTGTTAGAATTCATACAAGTTCAGCGGTGCGCGAAGTTCATCATATCTAAATATAAAGTCGTAGTCGTTACCATTAGCTAGTATAGCATAAACTCTGAGTTACTGGGTTAACAGTTTGATCAAACATTAGACACAAGTTAAAATTTAATACACCTTAAATTCCAACAAACTTACATGGAGTGTGGCCAGAGAACAGTGGGTAAACTTTTGATTTATCAACAATGAATTATTGAAGGGAAATATATATATACATTACAAGATAATTTGAATGAATGTAGAGTAGACAGTAATTTCAACATCAGAGCCATCTCTGGCCGCACTCCCAAACATTAACATACAGGTAAAACACTAGATAAAATTTACTTCTATAACATATTACTATAATGAAAACAAGTAATAATTTGAATATAATAATATGTACTGCAATCAATTTTCTCTTGTACAATGTGTAAATAACTGTATAAATTCTGATAAGGCATACTGTACGATACTTGGTGTATACATTTATTTGCGAGTACTCGGATCACCACGGGATAAATATAATTCATTTATTGCCCAACAATTTGTGGTTGAAGCACAAACGCTCTCTGTAGAACTATTCCTAGTTATTGCTTATTTCAATTTGAAGTTACAATTTTGTAGTTTTTTTATACTAACATGCCTAGATAGCAAATTTAGGCAATTTAATATAATGATAAACTCTGAAAACATTTGTATATTTACGTTAGTAACTATAACTATTAAAGTTTAAGACTTTAGGGCGCACGTGATAAATGTTCAAAATACTTAGACCAAACATGTTTCTTGAACCAAAGATCTATAAATAAATATGTAAATGAATCGACCAAAATGTGGATGAACAGTAAGTAACCTAGCTAAATAATACGTTTGAAACACACGTTTAGTTGTAAAATAAAATAATACCAGATGGAAATGAATTATACAATGTGATATTTGTGAATGAAAGTAAAGAGATAATAAAGTAATGATACAAAATACTTCTAAATGAAATGACTAAAGTTCTCACATGTATGCTACGCAAGCCGCGAAGTTCTTGTGTATGTATTGTAACTAGCGCCTAGCTCCGGTCAGCGGGAAGCTAAATACGTTGAATATGAAAATATATACTATCTTGCATACTACTGTCTCATTTCATAAATATATAATGTAAGACACTATCTGATTGTACGAGGCATTATTATCTGTATCTTCTTATATTTAAAATACGCCTTTGCAATTTCATTGAATATATTCTTCTAATAAATAAGTAGGTAATCAATATTTTAATATGCTTGTATGTAAATATCTATAATTTTATTAAGATAGCTATTGGCATGGGAGCAAGGCTTAATTGACGCAACAATGGTTTGTAATCTAAAATACATTTGATTATTATTTAATATTAATAATTACTCTTTATTGCTTGAACCTATGCGTCTTATTACATGAATTTTAGGCTTTACTGTAGATTTTATTTTGGATTAATAATTACCTTTCTATAACAAATGTAAATAACAATATAATTGGTGTTCTATTTAAATCACATTGACGTAGACAGAATTTTCAATTACATTAAAAGTTGTTGTTCAGGAAAATGTAGAGAATTCACTTTGAACTCTATACAACTTGTATTACAGACTGTTATAGACAAACAGAGAATTTGGTTTGTCTATTGGCGATGACTCGAGGCAAATTTGTTACGACTTGTAGAACAGATGCCGTGTATCTTACAAATTGACGAGAATAGTCCCTGATCTCACCTTAAAACTCCAATTTACGGAACATAAGTCCAAGTTTGGTACACTCTGTAACCAAGCTACATTGGCAAGTAATTACATTGAGTAGTGGTATATATAAAGAATAGTGCACCGTGGCACCTGTATTTAAAGTTCAAATTATATAAGACGATATCATTAGTATCATGTATTGAAAACTGGAATTCGGTTGCCTTCGTGGCATTAAAATTGTATCGAAAGTACTCTATGATACCAATGATTTCGCTTCATACAGGTACCACCGGAGTGAGATGCGACGATCATACATTTGAGATCACTTGACCGTCGCACCTAGTTTTAACAATCACCACTACAAAAACATCAACTACTATAAAGTAGTTAAATGATACAGTTACAATAAACGTTGTGTATACTGCAATATTCCAGAGGAAATAAATAATTAGTAGTTAGTATCGACGCGTGTCGTCGCCTATGTACAAGTAGCGGTGGCTCAGAGCGAGTCTCGATGCCACACCCAGGTCCGCTTCGTGTGGTCGAACCGGTGCGCCAGCCACTGCGCCTGCAGCAGCTCCAGGCGGTCCTGGCTTAGGTATAGTGGTTTGCCACGCCTGGAGGGAAACGTTTTATTAGATAATTACATTTAAGAGAAAGTTCAAGCCTTTAATGATAATAAAAACAAAATTATTAGTTTTAATAACCAATTAATAGAATTTCTGTCGATCCTCAAGCTCAACTTAAATCCTAGGGCTCCGGTTAAGCTCGAAAACGGACAGGCATCCTCGTAAAAATCTAAGTCAGTGAATCGGATGAACATTATAATTATAATTCGGAATGTATTGTAAATAGACATGTGTACTGACTTGAGGTCGCGATCCTCTTCATCGTAGTCGTCAAGATATAGCGAACCCCAGAGACATGCGCGGCGGCCGCGGATGACGATGATGTATGTCGACGTCACCACTAGGAATATACCCGTACCGCCACCGCATTCCATCGCGTGCTGCAATACAAAGCCAGTTTAAATTTCAAGTAATGTTCATAAATTGGATAATTATTATATTGAACATTTTTAATTGAATGTATCTAGTACCTGCACGGCCTCGGCGACCTGGTGCTGCCTGCAGCAGGGCTGCTTGAGGCAGACGAGCGTCCCGCAGAGCAGACAGACGCTGGCCTCCTTGGGCACGGCGCCGCACTGCAGACAGACGCGCTCGTGGTAGTACGTGAACAGGCGGTCGTAGTCGCGCGGCAGCGCCAGCAGCCCCGGCTGCACCCACTCCACCGCCATCGACCGCAGCAGGCGCCGGACCTGGGAACCGACGGTTACGTTCTGCTCTCTGTCTGCAGCCGCTTGACCAGAGGAGCGGCCAACCGCTACTGCGTACAGGGACTTCAAAATGTTTACGTCCACCCGCCGGATGGACGCTATCAATTCTTAAAACATCATGGATCAATTAAAGAAAAGGGCAAACGTTTAATTGAATTCGTTAAGCCGAAGACTAAGTTCATTGACGTACTACTGAAGACAGTTTATTTATGTTCAGGCAACTGCTAGAAATGACCTAAGTACTGACCGCTAGCTGTCCTCTAGATGCCGCAGCCCCTAGTTGCCTGGCCCAGGCCCGGGCTGCAGTGGCGGAGTCCGGACAAAGTGCTCGTCCAGCAGACCACTCGCTCCATTCCATGCCCTCGGTCACCAGCTCCAGATAATACGCTAGTCGGACGAATTCTTGCCGCGGGGTCGATACTTCTGGTAGCTCGCTGCCGTACAGGTGGTGACGAAGTAATGCTGATATACGCAGGAACGGCAGGAGGAGGTCTTGCACCTGTGTATACAGGGAAGGTGGTTAATCTATATATATAAAATTCAAAGGTGATTGACTGACTGACTGATTGACTGACTGACATAGTGATCTATCAACGCACAGCCCAAACCGCTGGACAGATTGGGCTAAAATTTGGCATACAGATAGATGTTATGACGTAGGCATTCGCTAAGAAAGGATTTTGATAATTTCCACCCCCAAGGGGGTAAAAAAGGGGATGAAAGTTTGTATGAAACTTTGTCAGTTTTTAACTGATCGGGTTGAAATTTGGCATGCAGATAGA